GAGAAAGAGAAAGAGAAGAGCTGGGACACAGAGGTCCTGGAGGAAGGAGACTAAAGATAGACTGACTAAGCAGGGCAGACTGACAGCTGAGGAGACAGAAAGGGAGGTGCTGGGACAGAACTCCGAAGGGTGCTTCTCAGGCAAGCCCAGCTACAGGTCTCCTGGCCCGGACTCCAGCAGGTCAGCCGGCTCCTGGGACGGTGGAGGGAGGGAGGGAGGGGTAGAAAAGAGTGGGCTCAGGGCGGGATGCGGGCCTGGCCAGGAGCAGCCTTGCTCTGGGTCAAGGAGTGAGGCACCAGAGCCTAGAAGTCAGCCCTGACCCTGGCCCTCCATGACCCCCCAAGGCTCATGAAGGGAGAGCAGCATGAGGAGCAGGGGCTGGGCCCCGACCCTGCGGCACCCCCGCAGCCCAAAGAGGAGGAGGAGGCCCTGATCGAGTTCCACCGCTCCTACCGAGACCTCTTCCAGTTCTTCTGCAACAACACCACCATCCACGGTGCCATCCGCCTGGTGTGCTCCCAGCACAACCGCATGAAGACGGCCTTCTGGGCTGTGCTCTGGCTCTGTGCCTTCGGCATGATGTACTGGCAGTTCGGCCAGCTGTTCGGGGAGTACTTCAGCTACCCCGTCAGCCTCAACATCAACCTCAACTCGGACAAGCTCGTCTTCCCCGCCGTCACCATCTGCACCCTCAATCCCTACAGGTCAGTCGACCCCTCTGTCACTTCCCCGGCGCCTGGAAGTGGGGGACAGAGGGCGCGGAGGCAGACCCGCAGACCCAGGAGTAGGAGGGGATACTCTTGTCCCTAGGTAGACCTCCCTTTGGGCAAGATAGGGAGCCCCCGACTCGATGGGCTCTGCCCATCCGAGCGGCTCTGCCAATGGGGCCCTCCAAGTGCCCACAGCTTATCCAGAGTGTGGTTGTTGGACTTCCCTTCCTCCTCCCACAAGTGGGAGGGCGAACAGATGAAGTGAGATGCGGATAGCTCCAAAGAGCACGGTAGAGATCATTCCCATCCCTTCCCTGGAGCAAGAGGAGGGCGAAGAACAAGGCCTCCTCCGCCTCGAGAGAAGAATCTAATGGACAGGTGAAGCCGTTGGCAGGTGCTGTGGGGGTGGGTGGTGAAAGCTGGCAGGGCTGGGCCCTGGTATGTTGGTCTCAGTGTAGAAGGGGAGTTTGTTTTGGGGAAATCAAGGTGGGGGCTGGTGGCAAAGGGTTGGAGAGACTTGAGGCTGGGGGTTGAGTCAGAGGGAAACCAGGACAGGACAGAAAGCAGCCCTCCCCTTCCCCCCCCCCAACCTCCCCTCCCCCCAAGATCCAGTTGACCCCTGCTGGGCTGTGTACTTCACCTGCCCAGGTGCCTGACTTTTAAGTGCTCGGGTGTGTCCTGAAGGTTTGGGTTTCATCGTTGCTCTTTGCCAGTTTTTCTTCTAGAAGCCAGAGGGGATGGTAACCATGGAGAAGAAAGGAGGGCACAGCTAGGTGTTTATCCACACCTCTTATTTGTATTTACTCAGTCATGCAACACGTGGGGGATACCTGGAGCATATGCCCAACACTGCTAGGCACCTGGCAAATGGGTTCATTAATAATTCATTCAGTCTTCACTGAAGGCCAGGCACTTTGCTAGGTTCTGGGGACAGAAAGATAAAATACGGTGGAAGAGATAGGCGACACAGATAACAGCAGGACAGTGTGGCTTCGAGAGTCAGTCTCTGCCCTTAGGGAGTGTAAGATTTGTGAGTGCCTACAGGTGTGATTGCGTGAGTGTGCATGTGTGTGTGTATATGTGTGTGTGTGTGAGCAAACATTGGGTATAGGTATGATTATGGAGGATGGAGATTGGTCACATATTAGGGATGAAGGCCCCCCATGTGTTCCATGGTGTCCAAAGGTGTATCACGGACTAAAAAGGGTTGGGACGTCCCGTGCTGCAGGGAAAGCCCTGCCGGCCGTTTTCATGGATAAGCCTCCATATGCTGTCCAGGCGAAGGGCGCGTTTCCTAAGCTGCTTCATGCACCAGCCACTGCTAAGTACTCTGTGGCACCCCTAATTCTCCCAGAAACCCCACAAGGCGGGGACTATTGTAATCCTGTTTTGCATTGGAGGAAACTGAGGCAAAGGCAGACAAGTCACAAGGTCACAGAGACAGTGACGGAGCTGTGGTTCACCCTCGGATCACAAATCCCTCCTTTTCTTGATATCCAAGGTGTGGGACACGGAATCAGCGAAGTGTGTAATCAGATGTGTACATCTCATTTCCCAGCTCTCCTTTTCTGGCTCAGCCTCATTTCTCTTCCTTGGTGCCCGTGAGCTTGGCTCCTCTCCTTTCCGACCCTCTGCTGCTTCGCTACCCTGATCTTTCCCCTACTTATTTCTCTTCACCCCCTTGGGCCATGGTGGAGGGCACTGAGTCAGCAGGGAGGGGAAGGCGGGCAGGCAGGAAGGACTAAAGGCTGGGTAGTAGGCTCTCAGTAAATGTTTGTGCTTGAAAGACATGGGTGGGAGATGGAGAGCAAAGGGCTACATCTTTTGAGGCCTGCTGAGGGCAGGGTCATGGACAGTCTACGAAAAAGCCCCAGGGGATGAAACCAGAGCCACTGCTCCTGAGGCCTGCAGGCTGGGAGACAGGTGTCCACACAGAAAGAAATCCCTCCTGCCTGACTAGCGGCCACAGGGCTTAGAGGGGAGAGAGCCCCGGGGGAGGGAGGGGAGTCAGGGAAGGCACAGGGAACCGTGTCGAACACCTGCTACATGCTCACCCTTTGCTGGGTCCTTTATAAGTACTATCTCATTTCATCTTGACAAGTCCATGGCGGTGGACATAGTTATTATTTCCATTTGGAAGTGGAGGCAAAATAATTTGAGCAAGGTCACAAAGCAAATAATAAAGAAATAGCAACAATAATAGTGAACACTTCTTTAAAATTTTTTTTAAATGTTTATTTTTGAGAGAGGGAGAGAGACAGGGCACAAGCAGGGAGGGGCAGGGAGAGAGGGGAACACAGAATCTGAAGCAGGCTCCAGGCTCTGAGCTGTCAGCACAGAGCCCGACGGGGGGCTTGATCTCACGAACCTCAAGATCATGACCTGAGCCGAAGTCAGATGCTTAATTGACTGAGCCACCCAGGCGCCCCAAGAACACTTCTATAGTACCTAATGTGCACCAGATATGTTACATTTTATATGAAATTATTTAATTCTCACAACAGACTTCTGAAGTAAGTACGAGTATTATTCCCATTTTATAGAAGAGGAGACTGAGGCCCAGAGAGGTTAAATAACCTGTCCAAGTTCACACAGGTAGCAGGTGGTGAAACTGGGATTCAAAAGTCACCCACCCACCCCTCCAAGCAGCCAGTGCATTTCTGGTTAGCAGCTGAGTCACAAACCAAATGTGTTTGATATCAAAGCCCTTTATCACCTCTACACTTTAAGAAGGTGCCACAGGGTTGCCCGCTGCCAGGTGGGGGCTTATGGGTGAGACAGATGAGGGGTACTTGTCATGAATGGAGGAGAGAGGGATGCAGGGCTCTTGGCTCCTATTCAAGGAGAGAGGCAGGGGTGGGTGGACAGGTTAACACAGCCTGGTAGGTGGTGACCCGAGGGTGAATCACAGGTGCTGGCTTGCGGCTGGTGCAGGGGACAGGCCAGATGAGTGATTCCTACCGAAGCAGCAGGGAGTAGGTGGCAATTTGTGGACAGGATAGACGAACTGGTGAGATAACAGGAATGAGGCAAAGTCAGACCAGGGATGCCCAGAGCTGGTGGGCACGGCCGGACGTCCACGGCCCGCAGAGGTGGAGGGGTTCTGGGTTGCTTGGGAACTTCTGAGAGAGGCTGCAGGGGCCACAGTAAGCAATAAAGCGCGAAGAATCCACTGTGAAGGGTCAGCCACTGCAGTTGCTTTCTTTGTGGCCAAAAAGGGCTTTATTCATCCAGGAGAGAGGGCCAGTCTTAACCACATCCACAGAAAACAGAGCCCAAGAACATATTTTTCATCTAGTCCTGGGAGGGACTGAGGCTGGGCCTAAGGAAGAACTCAAGATCCTGAAACATCACAGGAGGTGATGGAATCCCTTCCCAAGATGGCAGAGCAGAGGCATGGCACAGGAGTGGGGAGAGGAGAGGGGCAATTCCCTAAAGAGGGAAGCTGTGGGCCTTTTTTTTTTTTTTTTTTTTAATTTGAGAGAGAGAGAGAGAGAGAGTGCGTGAATGGGGCAGAGGGGAGAGGCAGAGAGAGAGAGAGAGAGAGAGAGAGAGAGAGAGAGAGAATCTTAAGCAGGCTCCACGCTCAGCATGGAGTCCGACATGGGTCTCTCTCCCAGGACTCTGGGATCATGACCTGAGCCAAAACCAAGGGTCAGACGTTCAACCTACTGAGCCACCCAGGCACCCCTGAGCCTAACTCTGCAAAGTAGGGCTAGCAGTTCGCTCTGTGATGCCAGGCCTGGCAGGGACAGAAAGCCAGGACTCTCAGAACTGCCCCCCTTGGCCCCCAGTGCTGGGCTCCTTCTCCTGTCGGGACCCTCCCTACCTCTGTAGCAGCCGTTGTTAGAAAGTTCTTCCTCAGGGCACCTGGGTGGCTCAGTCAGTTAAGTGTCTGACTCAAATTTGGCTCGGGTCATGGTCTCACGGTTCATGGGTTCGAGCCCCACATTGGGCTGCACGCTGATGGCGCAGATCCTGCTTGGGATTCTCTCTCTTCTCCTCCCCATCTTGCTCTGTCTGTCTCTCTCTCAAAGTAAATAAATAAATAAAAACTTTAAAAAAGAGAGAGAGAAAGTTCTTCCTTAGGTAAAGCTGCAGCTGACCTCGTTATAACTTCTAGCTTCTGCTCCTGGTTCTGTGTCTTTGACACAACCCTAAAGATAGCTCCTTCCTCACCCACCGGCCACCAGCCCATGGCAGCAGCATCTTCAAGGTAGCTTGCAAAATTCACCACCGAATTCAGATCCTCCTAACAAGCTTGTTAGATAAGGAAGGAGATACCCGCCCCCTCCCCCCTCCCAGCCAGATGCGAAAACTGAGGCTCTGAGAACCTGCAGGCTTTGCAAAGGTCACCCAGCTGTTATGTGGAGGGGTCCGAATTGGAATCTGGTCTTAAGTTCTACTTTTTTAAGACCACAAAGTCACGTGGCAGCTAGGTGGCAGTCCTCCTGTGTCTCCTCCGCCTGCTCTTCTCCAATAACAGTGCTGATACGAAGACAATAGCAGTAGTTGTACAGTGTCTACTCGGCCAGGTATTTTTCTCAGTACTTTTCCTGTATCAAATCATTTCACCTCCACAATAACCCTTTGCCACAAGGACTCTTTAAAAGAAATAGATTTATTTAAGTAATCTCTACACCCAGCATGGGGCTCGAACTCGCAACCCCAAGATCAAGAATCACACACTCCTCCGGCTGAGTCAGCCCGGCGCCCCGGCAAGGACTATTAATAGTCCCATTTTACAGATGATGAAGCAGAGGAACAGAGGCTAAGTAACTTCTCCAAGACAAGCCATCAATTTTTTAAAAATGTTTATTTTATTTTTGAGTGAGAGTGTGTGTGCAAGTGGGGGAGGGGCAGAGAGAGAGGGAGACAGAAAATCCCAA